GGTCAAAACATACCCCGAACGGATCTGCCAAGACTTCGGCTAATATCACAAACAGCAGAAGAAATTTCCCTAGTAAACGCATCCTTCTTATAATACATACTTACAATGTTTTTCGAACCATTAAGTTGGCTAAAAAATAGCGTTATGGCACACAAATCTTCATAAAAAAAATTTCTTGCTGTTTTCTATCTATATTATTTTGTTAGAAAAGTAGCTTGAAGCCAAATATTCAGGACTTTCAATCATCGGTAAAACCAATTATGGCTCAACATGGCCAGATTTTCAATGCTCAAATCTTTAATTCCTGTAGTGGATGTAGAGAACAGCAGTTTGGTGTATGGATACAGAAGATTTTTCCCTTTTTAGTGAGTAATAATAAAGGTCGCGATAAACCACTTTGAACATTTTTTACCAAAAAAAAACAAATTTTCTCATATTGCGCATAATGAAAAAAATTGGGCTTTCTCGCTTTGCGGATTTTATTCCTTGGAGGATAAGTTCCACTCAAGCAAAATACATGCTTCAATTTTCTTTGAAGTGCTCTTTCCAGAAATACCAAACATTGGACAAAAATTTGTCCGCAGCACTTGTAAGAGCCACAAAAGCGACCGAACTTATCTACAAGCCAACCTAATAGACTGAATCCAAACTCCTTTTCATCTGTTCAATTGATTGAGAATATGAACAGAGACGTGTTATTCGAATGATTCGTAGATTTCCTCGCTTCTCAAACATGCTGCCACTTTTCAGAAAATTTCACCCGTTATAGTGACAGCTACAATCTAAGACTGGATTGTGCTTGATGATACATTTTCAGGTTGCATTGAGTAATATAGGATATATCAGGCTACATTGAGCAGTACGGGATATTACAAGTTACTTAACCATATAAGATATTTTAAGATCACCAATATAGGATAACCTACCTGAATGAAGAAGTAACGTATTTTTGAGGTACTATAATGAGCCTTCAAGCTGCCACTACTTATAGGAATTTATTCAGAATCAAACATTTTTCTTAAAGGCGTTGAAAAGTTCACAGCATAAAAACATTCACATCATTTTGTCATAATCATCGCAGCAAACTTTCTTTGCTTGATACACTGTCTCAGACTGATTGACCATCACTTCAGTGTCGATTTGAAGAAATATTTTCTACAAAAACAACATTTAAGGCGTTATGATGTAAGTTATTCGGATGTATCAGCTGAAGTTGCTCATATGACTATTTCGTGCAACATTTCTTTGAAAAACATTACAAGATTACAAGACATTATTACTGTGGTTGTTCAGATGATTCCACAATATCGGTTCTTTTCTAACATTATCTTCATTTTTTGATGTGCTTATCAGAGAAGTGATATATAAAGCAGACAGTAACCACAACAGACAGTCAATGTAATTTCGCAGGTCCGTAGGCGTCTGTGCAGTATACGGCGAAAACATCCTGACAATTTTAGAGCGTCTCCTGTCAAAACGTAGGATCTGAATGCATGATTTTTACAATTTGGCAAAATTGTCTGTATCATGGTGGAAAGATTGTCATGATCGGAATTTGTGCGCAGAGATAGAGCAAATCGATTCTGTGAGACACCAAATAAAAATAACCCTCAAAAACTCCAAAAAATTTGTGATTTGCTTTCTGTATATGTATGCATATCGTGAGCTGTACCTAACGTAACATGCTGGCAGCATAAAAACAAAACACGAGAAAAAAACTCTCCCTGGCCGTGCAGCTACGTATAGAATGAATCATAAGTTCTGTCGCTTTGATTTTGAAAAGTTCGTAACTGCTTTTCATGTGACTTACAAAAACGTCTCCTGATAAAAAAATTCATCTACTTTCTAATCATATCTTAACTATTCTTTGGCGACAAAAGACTTTAGAAATAAAAGTTTGAATAGGAGAAAAACCCAAACTTTCGATTCTCGAAAATCGTCATACGATTCTCGAAAATCGTCATTGAGAAGTTTTGTGAGTTGCTCTTCCCATTGGTTCCAAGACTGTGCTGATCGAGCTTTTCTGCAAAATTTATGCTTTTCCTCAAAAATGCAAAAAAACAAAAATGACGTTTCACGAAATTTGTAACATTTCGTAGAAAAGCTCGAGTAACACAAATTTCTGAATATAAGAGAGAGCAGCTCACAAAACCCCTCAAAATATGCGCTTAGATTTTTCTGCAGCGTTTCAGATTTTTGACGATTTATTTTTGGAAATCACGCGTTTGAGCGGTTCTCCTAATCGAATTTTTAACTTTGGACTCTTTTGTCGACAAAGAGCAGGAAAGATGTGTTCAGAAAGTAGATTGCATTTTCCATCTGGTGATATTTTCTGTACTCTAATTTCACGCGTACAAGGCGCACCTTTTTCAATTTTTCAAACAAACCGCTCAATTGCTTCAATGTGTTCCGGAAAGCGAAACTTGAACCGTTCAATTCTCTCAGGCAAAACGGAACCCGGTATAGGGTTCTTTGGTCGTGAAGTACATAGTGTGGCGTGTTTGGGCTGGCGGATTTTAGAAAAAAAATCCCGCGCCTTTACACGTGAAATTAGGGTAATTCATTACGTTCACAGTGAGCAGTTACGAATTCTTCAAAATTAAAGCTACAGAACTTTTGAATCAATCTAATATACAGGATGTCCAAAAGTATGTGTGCACTATTTAATCGTTTTTATTTCTCTTCTCAAGAAGCTTTTTGCCTACCTTCAGGTACCATTCTGTAGAGCTCAATGCAACTTATATAGTACGTAGGGATTCACCAATCGCGCTTCATTAGTGTGGGATTACAGTAGTAACTTCAAAAAGGGTTTTGAGCATTGAGGGCCCTAACCCGCTCTAGAAAGCAAACTAAACATTCTGAAAACTCCTACACTGGGCTAATTCCGAGTCGCTGAAACTTAACATGAAGTTTGCACTTTACTGCAATGGTTTCTTTATAAATTGTCAGGTAAAGCGCGATAGCGTTTTTACAATAATTCCTGAAATTGTGGTTACATTACGAAGAGCTTTACAAATTCGTAAAAAGTTGAGTAATGAAAACAGCACCCTTGGAAGCCCCGGTAGAGCACCTTTAATTTCTTATAAACTTTTTCAAGCGGTTAAGCCACACTGACGCTGTGAACGGAAAGTTCAAACCGTAATCCTACAGTAATGAGAAGCGAGCGCTGATTCGTTTCACACTGTACCTGAAGGTTGGCAGCCATCTTGGGAAGAGAGATATTAACGATCAAACAGTGTATACATACATTTAGAACACCCTGTATACTTTGATGATCACTGGTAAAGTCTTTTCTAGTATAGTGTTATCTCTGAGCTTCATGCTGGATTCTGGTGTAAGTATTGAGGAGAGAGAGCTCTTGATCAGTAGTTTATTGGCAATGGCAACGTTTCGATTAAAATCGTCTTCAGGCCTTGAATTACAATATATAAATGATTTATGAGAATGAAATACAAACGGCGCATGTACCTTCATCTTCTTCTTAGATGGGAGTTAGAGAGGCGTGGGGTTGTTGCGATTATTATTATTGTAATTCAAGGCCTGAAGACGATTTTAAGAATCGAAACGTTGCCATTGCCAATAAACTACTGATCAAGAGCTCTCTCTCCTCAATACTTACACCAGAAAGTCTTTTCTACTTAAACTTCCGTTTGTAGAAGTTGCAGAATTTATTCGAGCAGTTTTTGAATCAGATATGTAATTTTTTCCCGTAAGGCTATTGGCACCGAGATACTCTAAAGCGAAGACAAATTTTCAATGGCTCAATATTTGTTTTCGTTTTGATTCGTCTGTACCTAGCTGCGACTAGCACATATTGCATTTTTAAAGCAGTGGGTTTAACATTTATTTCCATAAACTACGGCGTAAAATCCTTCCATATTCTCTTTCCTGACGCGTGCATGAGAATGGCTCATTCTCTTTCCTGATGAGTCTCTTTTAACAGTAAAAACCAATTCTTCACAATTAGCGGCCTATTTTGATGTTTTAGAGTGTTTATATTGCAGATGTTTAGGCTCAGCTTGTGATCTAAGCTCTTATGTGTGGATGAGGTACACAGCTGCGTTTAAGCACTCCTAGTCAATAGGCTGACTTGATGCCTCTTTGCTTCTACATATCCTGATAAGGAATAAGTGTCGGGAAGCAGCTATTACCCAAAAGCTTCTCACGATGGAGATTGGCCTAAGATAGCGAACCGCTGGCAGTGATCTCTGCCCGCCGGCAGGAGCCGGCTCCATCTTTTCCTTTTCCTTTTGTAAATAACTTGCATAACAAAGATTATAGTAAGTCTGATGTAACCCCGCTACACATCAGGTAAAGCACCTGTAGGCCTTTATCTCGCTCAAATCTGCCCAAATTTTCATGTCTACTCGTTTTCAAAATCCAGTTTTCATAATGGTAATATGAAGCGCCAACGATCGGTTTGGTAGATGCAGTTAGCAATATTCAACAAAGAACGATGAGAGCTGTCATTCCGTGTCTCTTTTCGTTTTTTTTCATAACTTGACTTCTTGCAAGCTTTTTCTGAGATCTTAATCCATCGAAACATTCAAAATTTTATATCGGCTAGTTAATTTTGCCCTCGCTAAGCTATGAACAGGGAATATTGATGGACATTCACGGCAAGTTCGAAAGGTAGATTTGCCAATCACTACGGCTATGTGCACCATTCAGACCAGATTTTATAGTCGGAAGTTCCTTCAACCATAAAATTGCGAACAACTCAGAATGGTCCTCATTTCTGTGCCAAGCACAAATATCTTCTTTGAGATTTCCTCTCAAAGAAAAAAAAGCAAGAAGGACTGTTGCTCTGCTCGGTCTAGGACGGGTTTGATCTTCCCAAGATTCTCGGAGTTATCGTCTTTTGCACAAATAATTCACTAAATTAATTTCTTGGTTAAAAAAGCTTAAATTTCGTTTATAGCAAACAACCGAAGTACTAAGTTTAATCCGACAAACTGCGTAAAGTTAATAAAATTTCGTGAATCTTGCAAAAAAACTTTGGATGTTTGATTTGCAATAGCAGCAGTAAAGAAATTGAGCAATATTCTACATAAATACATTTCTAGGGTATCCTGCTTTGAATTTTTTTATGCTGCAAAGTTTATTCAAGCATCAGTATTGAGAGAAGTTTGTTTCACAGACTCAGACATGCCGTCGGGAACTGAAGCAAATACTGCCATCCTTTATCCATGCATCGCTTCCGGCACTATAAAATCACTACTGAACAGAACAAATTGGCACGCTATTCAAAGCCGTTCTTTGAAGCTTGTCTGTGAGAATGTCTTGACAAATCTCAGCACCAGCAATCTGCCTTCCGCACTCAACTGGCGCTGAGGTGCTTCGAGATGGCAAGATGCCCGTTTTTGTGAAATTCCGCCATTTCGTGGCGTTTGTGACTCTCGTATAAGTATTCTCACCTCTTCTAACTCCTCTGTAGGACATGTTAGCATACATGTGGTCTTCCTCAGATTATTTTTCTCCTGTTTATCGCACTTGTGCAAGCACTATTACATAAGTAGTTGTAAAAATAGCATATCCGTAAACTCAAGAATGAATTACCTTGAACGCCTGTGCTGAAACATCAACAAGGAGAATCAAGAGAATGAAGAAAGTCCTTCTTGACAGCACCATAGAAAGCTCGGATTCTGAAAAAATATTTTTAGGCTCACTTAAGGGAATGAAGGGCGTAACTCAATGGTGCAGTTTCAACACCTACACTACTTAAATACATAGTATTTCGTGACTGACAGAAATGGCAATTGACTGATATGACATCAGATTCTGTAGCGTTATCGCTTTCTCTTGAGCTTCGCATAAGTTTCAAAAAACACTGCAACAATTTTGTAACAACCAAATGCTAATAGCATCATTCTGGAAAACACACTGACTTATCTGACGCTGATGTTTAAATTTCCCTCAACAGGAAACGGCAAAGTAACGTTGATTGTATATGTATCTTTTTTAATATTTAATATGAACTCACACAGAAAATGGCAAATGAGCTTGTGATTCAGAAGAATTTTCGCTGATGTTTAATGTTAGATTTTCGCTCTGTACAACCGCACCTCGTGTTGCTTTGCGTACGTCATTGTAGGCAAAGTCATCTTGCACCCCGAGTTTGGCTTGTGCTAGATCGACCAGCCTTATGGCATTTGACAGGTTGTCTCAAATTACCTTTCCTCTTTGTTTACGCCACAAAGCGCGTGTTAATCAAAGCCGTTCAAAAAGGATTGAAACAGACTTCATGGGTTTACTTTCAGTAGACACGAGTAAGTTTTGCAGAAAAGGCTAAAGTTAGAAAAGTGGTGTGCTTGACGGACAGAACTATGCGGCTGCAGATTAGCGAGTGTATTACTATCTTATGGCTTTGAATCCAGTCGTCTCTATCATTTATCAGCGAAAAGAAAATCACGTAAGGTCCTCAACTTAAGTCAACTGAGGTGAGCTGAAATGTAGCACAATCTGCCATTACATCCAAAATTCAGTGGCTCATTCAGTTACAAGTATTCAGCAAATTTTTGATGTTTGAGATTGTTGCACATTATTGCATATCTTTATTTTATTTTGTGCACACGAAGTGCGCTACAACCAGCGAATGAAGGTTAGAGCGTCTAATTCAACGAACTCAATAATGAAAGTTAGTAACATCACCGAATAAGACACTGGGTCTAGCACTCAAAATATGGTTTTTCTGAAAAGGAAAAAAACAATAGCTGGAACTGAAGTAATGGTACACCATGAGATAAAATTGTATAATAACTGCACACCAGTCGGCCAAGTGTGCACTGGTGCGCCCTAACATCAGATGGCATGCCTGGAGCCTTCGGAATGACAGGTATACCGACCTGACCCCCTGTCGAACCAGGCTTATCAGTAGAGTGAGACTCAGGGCATAAGCTTAGGGACTGGAAATGGGGTACCTAACTATAGTAAGGGCTGGATAATGACCTAGGAATTTAAGACAGAGGAACCAAAAGTGAACATAACATAATTGTAAATAGGACACTGTGTCTCGAACTTGACTATCTCTCGTACTACAGCAATCACGAAATATCCTCTAAATTCAACATGCGCAGAAGGTCATTTTGAACATAAGATGCTTGAGTTTAGTTGAGTCGTTCTAACATAAAATCCCGGCGGACAGGCAATTCAGCAGACGACAAGCACGACCAGCAAAGGAATACCGTAGCAATTGTTTACGCCATCCTTTGGTCTAAGAATACAGATATTCACCATAGCTCTTCGGGTTTGAGAGGGACGGAAAGACCAAAATTAGAGAAATTCAAACGCACCTCTTTTCGAAAAATTTTATGAGCCAACAGAGTATCAGCTAAAATTCGTATGTAGTATAAACTCTTCAAACCAAAAATAGCTAATCTAGTCTTGTAGTCAGGAAGCGCCTCTGGATACTTCTTGCTTGGGAATAGTCGATAATACAAAATTCTGGTGAATGTTCGTTGGACTTTTTCTTATTTGACAATATGTTTTTTTAAGCTGGGGTTCCACACCGAACTGCAATACTCTACAATGGGGAGGACATAGACCTCATATAGCCTCATCCAGATAGTTTTAACTGACGTATGTATATTCCTAAGCAAGGAGTACGTAACTCGTGAAGCGTTAGTGACCACGCTATCAATTTGGGAAGAGATTGTGAAAGGAAATTCAAAGATAACACCCAAGCCCGAACAACACTCTGCGACTTCAAGTACACTCCATAGTCAAATTTAAAAGAAGTTTCTCCGAATCTTATAGTTTAACTCTTGTTTAGGTTTAGACTTTTAATCCCCACTCCTCGCACCATTTTAGCATCATCCGCGCAAGCTGCTACACTGATCCGAATATCAGTTTACAGCAAACTCGAAAGCTCTCTGGTGTAAATGCCAAACAACAGTGCAGAGAGGGCGCTTCCTTGGGGCACAGGGGAAAATCTTTCTAGTGAGCTTTGGCCTTGGAAGAGGACGATAAAACTCCGGTCAGTGAGGTATGAATCAAACCAAGCCAAAAGATTATTTCTAATTCCAATACTCCCAAGTTTGGCAAGGAGCATCCGGTGATTCACAAAATCGAATGTTTTGGAGAGGTCAAAGTATACTACTTCAACTGACTTGCCATTACTCAGGGCGTCGACCCATTCTTGACAGCATTTTATTCACTGCATTGTTGTAGAAGAGCCAGGGATGAACCCATGCTGCTCCTCGGAAAGGTAGTTGCCTTTAAGGCACACCAATTCAAGATATATTTGGCAATAATTTTTTCCGTTATTTTACAAGGGGTCGGTAGAATGCTAATGGGTGTATATTCAGTAACTTTGTCACTTACACACTGATCACTTGTTCACTCATATACTGATCTAGGCTCAAGGAGTGCCGCATTACAAAGCTCAGCTTACCCCTAATTTGAGCATTTTCCCCAACAACAACTTTGAAATTCTGTTATTGCATTGAATCACATTTCTGCAATCTGAGCATCAAAACACCGCACTGGCCCAACCTTGAGTAAACTGTGTGACGGTTATCCAAATACCTAAACATACCGTAACCACTGTGCTGACACCACTGTTTGAAATTAGCATGTACGTCGTCACCACGCAAAATAACTGACCGGCATGTCGTATACCTGCCGTGATCCTGCTGCATGACATGCGGTAGAAAGCCCCAAAACAAACTTCAGTGTGCCAACATTCAGTTGCTTATGTCACTTTACCTCACCTAACATGAACTCAAAGTAACTTTGCCAGATGTTACCGCAAAAGTAATTACGACATTCGTAATTTGCGCTACGCATCATTCTCGGAAACAAAATTTTACAAAGCACCCCATCGTGCTTGCTGAAACTACTAACAAAGTGTCTTTAGAGTAATTCCTGGCTGTTCTTCTTCTCTTGTATACTATTCTTTTCCTTTAATGTCTATGTACACATTGCGTTTCGATGAGTTTTAAAGTGCATAATCGGTGTGGTGTTGGGTGTACATTCTATTAGAAAAAAAGCTTTATTAGGAACAGAAAATATCTTTGTACCACAAACTCTTGATCGTATGGTGTTTACTGTTTGCGGAATTTGGCCATTCAAATGCGCATAACTTTTATTGGAGAGCGTTCAGCAAATTTAGAAGGCAAACTTAGAATTCAGCTCATCAAAGGGCATTTAATGATACCTCTTTCATCCCAGATCGCCATTGCGACTTGAGATGCTTCTTTGGTTAGGACAAGCACGTAAGAGCAACCATAAGCAACGTTTCGAGCACAATTCTTACACTGTATAATCCCTGCGCATTGTGCTTGGGCAGAAAATGAATTCAATTATCGCAATTATATCATCAGATAAATATCCTGAGCAGTCAGAACAAATGCGACCAAAGCGATTATTTACCTACTCTTAGTATATGCAATGATAACAAATCAATGTAAAAATTGTTATCAGCACACTGAGTAACCCATCGAAGCAAAAGTCACAAAATAAATGACTGCCTACCGTATAACTCCGTAGCCCAGTAGACTGCTGCACTCTTATAGATCTGAAGATGCTCCTCTCCGAGCTTAGTCAAATGGTGTCGTTGGATTCAGAATTTAACCATTCTGAAGCGAGATATAGCGACGCAGTTTCCGGCGCACCGTAGTATTCTAGCAGGGTGCGTCGAAGTGCGCCAACATTTTCGAAAAATTATGAGCAGTATTGAATTAGGACGGTGCTAGAAGATTTGTCAGTTTTTTGATCCATAGGCAATGCGCTAAAATTATAAACAAATAAAATTTATCCAATGCACATTCCTCGTCTTTTCAGCTGCTGTATTTCCAATGTGATTTATTGAGAGAGAGAGAGCTGAGATTCACGCTTGAAATTACAACCTTTCGTTTTCACCATGCTTTTTTATGTTGTTGATATTCCTCAATTACCAAGGCGCATTCAAAGGGATAAATATTCGAGCTTATACTTCTAAGGGCTTGTAGTATACAATCACAAATGCGGAAGAGGGTGGGGGCGGAGTTTTTCACTTTTGAACTATCTTTTTTCTCCCGCTGTCTATACGCGCAAAAATTATGAAGACTTCTTGAGTACTGCTGTGTGGTTTTTGTACGGCCACCATGTAAGAGGTCCATAGGATTTTTCTTTTCGCAAAAACCCTTCAGGTGATAAAAGGGTTTTTCGATTTTGGCTCCAAGCTTTACCTGGTTTAAGACTTAAGCGAAATTTCTTGGTACTTTCGTTGAGCTTTCAAATGCATAATTAATCAATCAGAAAAAATTTGAAAAACAAATCAAAATGCGACGGAGCTTATTACACAGTTAATAGAATGCACTTTCACAAAAATCGCTTCATGCTTTTGACGTTTTTTTTAAAGAAAAGCTTATCCTTTGGCTTACGCTTAGCCGCGATTTGAATTTTATAGTGGACAGAGGAGATGTTAAGTTCAATCAGACCAATCAGAGTTAATAAAATTTTGTGAGACGTGTAGAATTCTCAACGTTATAGCGATAACTTTCTTATGGTTGCAGAAGATTTCAATGAATACTGTTGTTGTTTCCCTGCTCTACGTCTTTGTCTGCGGCAAGTAAAACTAACATTTGTTGACAACAACATGTTGACCTCAAATGTTAACACGTGGACACTAACGCGTTTTGCATGTTACTTACATGTTAGCCTGTGCCGCAGGTCAGAGACACTGAACAGAGTGGCAGCTAATTCAGAGCTAGGCACAGGTGGCATGCGGGGCAAGCTGGATAGTTTTGGGGTAAAAAGAAAGGAGATATTGTCTAAGCAGATCCCTCCCCCTTCCCTCCCCTCCCCCCCCCCCCCCCACAACCACCTTCTCCCTCTTTTGTCACCTTTTATCTTATATAAAAGACGCAGATTGTCATTCTTGCCTTATCGACCCCATTCCTGAAAAAAATCAAAAATTCCCTGTCTGAACAGGTTCGCCGATTAACGCGCGAATTCAAAAACCTGCTTCGATACAAACAAAACCTTGTTTACAGCCAAGAAAAAATGAAATGACGCCAAACTTGGTGTGTAGATGGGTAACAGAGAACGGAGGGCAAGCGTTGGGCGACAAAACGTGCCAAACACGATGTAATTGAGGCCACGCCTCTTCGTGCTTGCAGTTTAGCGTTTGGAAGGTAGCCAACGCGTGCAATGTAGGACAACGGCTGCATGTTGAAGATAGTCTCGCTGTTTTCGATGTTCTTCGGCGAAAATTCAACGGAATTTTCTCTGTTTTACAAATATATGCTCGTGAATTGAATCTTCCTGCAAAGTATTTGTGATTAGGCTGAGTTGTGGATAAGCTCTACGTTGGTTTAGTTCTCAATGCGATCGATGAATTTGACCATGTGAGATTCTGTTTCTTTTTCTATGCCACAGAAAGGCCTTGATACGTTATTATTGTTGTACTGTGTTGTTGTAAGAAAGAATAGAAGTCTTTGTGATGGTTCTTGTTGCGGTGAAATTATGAAATCGGTGGCTTTTATGGCCACGTATCTTCGCTTTTTTTCCTCTCTATATTTGCTGGTTTTCAAAACTACATTTACGTTTTAGAGATGTCAATCCTTTGAACTAAGCCGGTTTGTTGGTTTCAAATCATACATCACCGATGGCGTTAAATAAGCGACGATTTGAGTATGGGATCGGAAGAGCTAAGGTAACTTTCCTTGTTTTTCCAAAACAGTGCAAATTTCTGAGTAGAAGTGCTTGAAAGTCTGCAGAGTCTTACTCTAACGAAAGGTTTGTCTATTCATAGTGCACGTTTCGCTGGATTATCATATGAAATCCCTTTCTTTTGATTCCGAGGAACTTTCACTTTTGAAGCCGTTTACGGCAGTCTTCGGCCCCGGGCAGCGTTTACGCGATTTGATTGTCGCGATTGATCGCGACACGACAACTCAACAATATCATTGCATGCTGATATTCTTGCATTTCGGTTGTGATAGTTTTCACACTCGACTAATCGTGACCGACTATCACAACCAAAATACAAGAAGATCGGCATGCAGTGAACTCATAACACTTGTTCTGTAGCGATTCGCGACGATCAAATCGCGTGAACTCTGCCCGAGGCATTCGAATGAAATTTCTTCAGTTAGGATGGATGTTTCGTAATCTTATGTGGTCCTTGTGAAGTTCCCTACACACAGTCAAGGGCACATTCAAATGTTGGCCCATAATGTGCGAATTTCTAAATAATATTTACTTCAGCTTCCGTCTGTTTGGGTTTATTCTAGGTCAATTCAATCCTATTACAAGCTTGTCTTATTGATTGTCCTCGTCTTGCACATCCGATTTCTCCGCAAGACAACATATCACTCCTTAAAAATGGAGACGTTGAAATTGGCGAAACATACGATTGCCCTGACAACTGCTGTTTCTCTAAATGTTGTAGAAAATGTAAATAGTTTTATTTTACCTGGGCGGGCATTGACAAGATCTAATATATGTCTAGGATGAAAGCAAAAGGGGAGGCTATATAATGTTTAAAAGTGGTCGAATGCCTATCTCGTCGAAAGAGTGCGAACTGACAGTGAAGAAGGTAGTTTTTTTGGTACTATTTTGTCTTCGATAACTGTCGTTTTTTGTTACAGGGGTCTGAAGAGAATATAGATTGTCCTGACGAAATACAAACACAGTTCGCTATGGAACACGAGCAGCGCCAGGTGTGCAGTTTACGTACTTCTCTCTAATTCCTTTTATTTTCTTTATTCGTTGAAATTGACATGAGTCTCCTATCTCGCATTATCCGATCTTTTTCTGATTGCTGCAACTTGTTTTCATTAGCAGCTGTCGTTCGATATGTGCATAACTTAGAATCAAAGACGCTTGTACATTTGCAAGCATAATCTACATTCTATATGTCAAGGTTGGTCATTTTGGCATTTCACTCTCGACAGGCTCAGGTTGTGGATGATAAGTCCCCGACAGACCCCTGTCCCCCGGGTCATTGTGCTGAATGCAATTCAACAGCGCGCTCTCTAATGGTAAATTATGCTTCCCATGTGTTAGCACACTGTCACAAAAGTGTGCCGTTTCGACGAGACACTATCGAGAGGTGAGGTTTTGCGCACTTACTGCTACTGCCATATCAGCTATGTGTAGTATATAGAACTTTTCATTCGCAGTTTAACCAAGCGATCGGAGCCTATCCGACCGTAGTCAGCAAGAAACCAAAGCCGTTATGGCTGAACAAGTAAACGTACTGGAGCAGAGAGCTTCACAAGGTACGCATAATTTTTGTATGACGATACTACTCTTTGGTTTTGTAGAACGCGATCTTCGTGACGAAATGGCAGCGCATTACTACAAGAAGCCCGTATCTAGATGGGATGCTATCGAAAGGTTAACTACTGCTATTATGAGTTTCGCATCCGAAATTCCTATATATCTAGAGCTCTCAAATCGCACGAAAATCCCCTCGAAGACGCATCCATGACCAGAATACCTTAGTGGCGATTCGCTATCGGTAAATTTAGGTAAGTGGTTTTTGATTGACTTTGATTCCACTCTCACTATTTCAATCGTTGTTAAGCAGTTTGTTTCAAATATATGGTCTAGTGTCTTGCAGCCGCCCATGCGTAATGAAAACACTGGAAGCGTCAAAGCTTTTTCGTGAATCTTACCTCTTGTATCTATTGAACAACTGTTATTGTTACCAAAGCTCTAACAGTTTAGTGGATAAAGTATTTTCGGAAGTTCATATTGCTATCAAGCGTGATACAATTCAATGCAAAAATGACAAATCTTGACTAGTTGACAAAACAATTGACAAATTTCTCCTAGATAGTTCGATTTGAGATGAATCTTGCCATTGTCCGGCAGTATTCCTCTATGCGCCGCCGCGTAACCCCTTCTTGATACTCTTGCGTGAATCTGCAATCTTTGTTTCAGTAAGCATGGACGGCTGTCCAAGTTTACCTTCGCATCTCGGTTGCTATCCTTTCGCGTCGCTCCCGGTCCCTTCTCCTGAGATACTTTGCGTGTGTGGGATTCTGCAAACTATCTGTATTCTTCAGCCCACTTGCTATTGAGATTACCTGCTCTAACGCTGTCAGTGCCGCGAATGCTTCACTGTTGAGGTCCCGAAGGACCTCAATCAGTTTACCCAACTGTGGGTGGTCTGCATCAAACAGCGTATTGAGCTGACTGCAATGCACTTGATTCTTGTCTTTGGCGGTAATTGAGCTAATTAAGTTTTCACCTGTGGTACGCCTCCGCCAAATTGGTAGTGCGTAGTTCTTCGAGGCCGTATTTGTCCCACATGTCGGAGAACATACCTTCGTACCAGTTCTCCCTTAGGTACGAAAGAAACAGCCGGCAGGGTGTGAAGGCAGGGTGCTGCACTGGAACCGGCGGCGCATCGAGGGCCCGCACTTCGCGGTGGAGGCGCCGTGGCAGGAACACCAATCCCTTGATGGTGTCCCACCAGTCGGCAACCTCCACCGACTTCTGTGGGCCTTCGAGGAACGGCGTCATGCCGACCTTATCGCGCCGCCGGTTCCAGACCTGCGCCAGGTGAAAGGCGCATCCCTGCACCCTCGCCTGAGGGAACACCTGACACACATGTGTTAAGGTTGTACAGTTGTAAATATTGTAACCTACCCTGCCGGCTGCTAAAATAGCCGACCTTTCGTAGTCTAGAACAATTCTCAAAGCCGGGGGCATCACGGATGCTTCGAGTTCGGCACGCAGATGACCAAAAATCGCCTCGTAGATCTTAATGTTCGATAATGCAAATGCATATCGCTAAGATTAGCTGGACACCTCCTCTGTTTTTCTTGCTGAGACAGCATACAAGAGCGGAACTTCAACTCCATTAGAACACACACCGTGAGCAGTATATAGCTGCCCCGTTTTCCGTAGCTGACGGGGTTGAAACGAATGAACCCCGTCAGCTACGATAGTGTGCAACCCATTCAAGGCGGCCTTCTAAACGGTCAGTTGTCTGTAAGCATCAGACTCGTTTAGCGGTTTTACCTGTATCGTTGCACTGCTATAGTAGATGTGCAACGTTGGATCGAGATTGTGCACGAATGGGGGCCCATTGGGCAGCACACGAAGGTGTTCTGGTATTCTGGTCATGGACGCGTCTTCGAGGGGATTTTCGTGAGATTTGAGAGCTCTGGATATATAGGAATTTCGGATGCGAAACTCATAATAGCAGAAGTTAACCTTTTGATAGCATCCCGACTAGATACGGGCCCGCTCTTGTAGTGATGCGCTACCATTTCGTCGTGGAGATCGCGTTCTACAAAACCGAAGAGTAGTATCATTGTACAAAAATCATTTGTACCTTGTGAAGCTCTCTGCTCCACTACGTTTACTTGTTCAAGCCATAACGGCTTTGGTTTCTTGTTCACTACGGTCGGATCGGCTCTGATCGCTTGGTTGAACTAAAGAATAGTTTTCTAGCAGAGATACTCTCGCTTGGGTCATTAATGTACACAGAGCTGCATTGCCTAACCACTTAGAAGAAAATGCATATAGTTTTTAAAGGAATCCCGACAAATCTGGGTGCGACAAATCTACTCATGGCGAACTTACTTCATAAACAGTTTGTTCTACCAAGGCATGCGCTGTTCGCACAGGGATGCACTAGGAGTGGTGAGGAAGAAGACGGGGGTCTGTTAGAAACTCTCCACCAACGACCTAGAATGCCGTCGAAAAATCAGCAGTATTCACCTAGATCATCGACACTCTCAGATCTAGACATAGGCGGAGACCTAGTGTCTGAACGTAAGTGTTTATGGTGGCGAGTAGTTGTTTGAAGAAGTTTGAAGCAGTGTTCTAACGTGGAATATACATTTTTTCAACGTTAAGTAACTTTAGTAAAGTTTACTTCTTTCCAAATTTGAGTATCGATGATACAGTCGAATAGATTCTAACCTGTGAAATCAAAATTATTAGGAGCACGGCGATGAGGTTTGTTTTCCAGGTACGATCATTTGCAAAAAACGGAAAAATGTATATGTCTAAGGCCAATTACAATTCGGACAATGTGAACTGCACATATTGGCAAATATGTTTGACTGATTGGGTTCTCTGGCGTGGACAATCTAAAGCAGCATGCAAAGAGCATTGCTGGTGTGGTGATAATAGTGTCTGTGTTGTTCTATATCTACATTGAAACGGGGGTGGTGCAGGAGGAACCAAAGGCCTGCCGCCCGTTACCGCAGGAGACAATTAGAAGCGCATGCGCTGTGGAGAAGATTTTGACAGCGATCAAAGAAAACCTGGCAAGGATATCAAATGCAAACAAATTTTCATAACTGTGCTTAAAAATAACTTTGAGAATCAAAATTTGATATTGTACAAAAAGAAAAGATTGATTTTTTGATATACTCACTCGTCACTATGAATACTTAAAGTTTCAACTTTTGATAAAACTGGGGATCTCAAAATTTATTTTTTTCTCAGAAGTAAGAGCAGCTTTCGTTCGAAGTCAATCAACCAAACTGCATACAGAATATCATAGAAAAACCTAGCACTGAAGGCTTACGTAAAAATGTATCGTTTGATTCATTTGAAATGAATTTTGATTCATGAGTTCTATTTGGCATCTTGTGAAATCTCTTAGGACTGCACATTGAAACCCTGGCGATGATACTTTCGCTGTACTACGAGATTGTATACAACAGCAAAAGTTAATCACAAATCAACAGTTAAGTGTATCTCCTGGTTTTCAGCTTTTGCTACTGAACTTCGAATGAAGTTCTAGGAATCCTTTTGAAAAGCTTTCAGTTTCTATCGCTGAAAATGGAGCTAAAATAGCGATGCAGAGTTGTTTATTTAGACGCTAGGCCTACACTGAAAAATGCGCGTTTCAATGCTTACTCCAAAAATGTGTTTCATATTTTTCAAAGTCATTTTCAAGCACAGTTATAAGGGTTTGTTTGCAATTGATTCCTTGCCAAGTTTTCCTGGATCGCTGCCATTTTTTCTCCACAGTGCTCGCGCTCCTAATTGTCTCTTGCGGTAACCGGCGGCAGGCCTTTGGTTCCTCCTGCACCGCATCCCATTGAAACACCTCTAGATTATCTCCGCGTCCACATCTAGCAGAAACATCGCTACTCAACTATCAGCTGTACCTACCTTTATAGTCCATTTTTTTCCTGTCCATTTACGGTGTTTTTTACATTGTTGGCACTGATTTAATTTGTGCTCAGCGGACTCCCTCTTAAACGTGAATGTATAGCACATTCTTGTGCCCGGTAGTCTATAGATTAATGTAGGATGTGTCCCTCTTTTTGATCTGCCTTCTTCGGCAATGAAACGCGGCCTTTCTGCAACAAATGGATACACACTGAGGAATCTAAGCCATATCCAATTTATCGGCAAATCAGACCATCGGATGCAGATGTGCCTGCAGAGCCATCAAATGCAGATGTGGAAGTTGTCGGTAGTAATTCCATCACGATAGACAAACACTAAATTTTTTATTTAGTGGGAATGACAAGTTGAGTGAATAACAATCAAACGTGAGAACCATAATGGTTCAAGTGGCGTTGTTGCTGCCTCTGTTAACCTGTTCGAGCTTGTTCATTAAATAATCAATATGCGCAATTTGATCTAGCTCACTGCAAAGAGTTCGCAGTAGCATAACTCTGCGAACTTCCTTGAGCAGCTCACTAGATGTGATCTGCGCTGAGAATAGAAGCAGTAATGATTTGGAAAGAAGCAAAGTTGCAAAGTTGTGAAGAAGAAGAAAATTACCGGAGATTCATGGTAGATCACAGCATAAAGAAGGGCACCAATTACAGAGAAACTTCACTACTCATTATTGATTGACAGTCTTACATAGAAACCACAGAAAATAAGTTTTGCAAAGTTTTTGCAAGATGGGGTAGCAAAGGAGAGAAAGATGGAATAGCTACTTCAAACGCTTACCTGAATTGAGACTCGTGTTCAGCAGTAGACAGCTTCTAGAACAATAAAAGTAGTAATTGTAGAGGTAGGTAGCGGAATATGAAAAGAAGTGAGTAGCCTAATGCAGTGAAATGCGAAGAATCAGCTGTTTCTTCAGGTGTCCATTCAAATTCCCGCGTTTGGCGCCGAACTGCAGCCACGGTAGACGCAGTGTGGGCGTGGCCTCAGTTCCATCGTGTTTTGCACTTTTGTCGCCTAACGCCCTACACCCACAGAGAACTAGGACTATGTTTCAAAAAATTATGAAAAAAAATATGAACGCGTGGCAAACTTTTTTTGGAGCTAAGTGGCTTTCCAGCCACCTGAACAGCCACCTAGGTGGCTGTGAAATACAAAGTCATAAATTCCCCGTTCTTCGCATAATTTTTCTCACATGTTAGACATAACTTTGTTCTTTTTAATCTCCCCGAACACCCCCCCCCCATCTCGCCTAGTTACAGCCCTCCAAATATTGTATGATGGCGGCAAGCCTCCTCCAAGCGCGCAATGGTGCGCGCCGGACACTGCATGTCGCCAATTCGCAGAATACGAACTTATCAATTCTTCGTTCGTTTAATGCTGTTTTTATGTTTCTTCCATTATTTTTTTGTTATTTGGTGTTTGGTTCGTATAACCGCGTCAAAGGTGTTGTCGTTTTTTCTGCGAAATCTATGGGGACTTCGCTTTGAAAAATTGAAAAAGCCACTTTATGTCAAGCCCTGAGCTGATCTAAAGAGGATGATGTCTTATATTACTTCCTAACATTATTTTTCCTTAAAACTCTTCATGCTGCAAAGTTTATTCAAGCGGTTTTGCACGACAATGAATGGAAATATTTGCTCAAAGAAGCAGACATGTCATCGGGACGCCATCCAAACACTTTCGTCGAAGTCTTTCATTATATGCGAATGCAGCATTGCATAGCTTCTTGCACTAAAAATCGGTCATTAAAGAGTAGACCGGAACAATGTCTAAGGCTTGGTTTTTGGTATTTGAGTGAGCATGGCCAAATCTGTACAAATCTCAATTCCAACATTCTGCGTTTGCGCCTATCCCTTTTTCACGACCCACCGTGTCCTACAGTCAATAATTGGAAAAGCATTGCCAACGTCCTGAGCCCAAATTCTGCATAGTGCATGCTTCCAGCATGAAAGTCCACCACGCAAAAGCGCGAGCCGATTTATTGCTTGAATCCTTCAAAAACTGTGCGTCGAACGGACACATTTGGCTTCTGACCAGCAACAATGGGTCCTACCAATTTTTGCGAAGTCATGGCCGTAAATGGTCAATTTGCCTAGGGTTCATCCACTTGATAAGATTTTTTGTCACTGCGATTGTTGTCCTTATTGCGACTACAAAGCCACAAAAAAGCAAAAAAAACAGACTCAAATTTGCATTTGTCGCGGTGAAGTTTAATGCCATCATTATGCCTGAGCTAGCTGGCTTACCCGGCTCCGCTCGGCCCTGTCAAGACACTATGATAAAGCTCTTATCCCATTCCCTGTGCAACGTTTCCCTGTGCCCACGCCTACATGCCAATTCCCTATTTCCGCTGTTCTAGTAAACAACATGCTCGATTACTCACCTGTGTAAACTACCCGTAGCCCCATAGCTCAAACTCTGCAAATAAAATCGATAAAAGTAATGGATAGTTCTAAAAGCTAATATTGTATTCGTAATCATGCTCGATTACCCCCCCCCCTATGCCAACTCTCAGCCCCTGAACCAACTTTACAAAAATCGATGAAAATCGATAAAATCGATTTTGATCGATGACGAAAAATAGCTGTGACACTCGCCCTGCCCCGAAGTGTATGTGTGTCAAGTTTGGTCCGAATCAGCTCGGAAATGGAATTTTCTATTCGGAACATACGTACAGACAGATAGACATACAAACAGACATTCAGCTTTATCAGATTCCTTCAATGTTTGATTAGCGCCAATCCCCAACCCATGGTTTTGTCTACCCTGAATTTCACTATTTTTCAAAATTTCCATATTCAACTTTTCGATAGATTTGATGACTGTTTTATAGAAGAAACAAAATGCTATACAATAAATTTTTTGGCATTTCTAGCTGGATCCTCAAAGTTTTTGAACATTTTTCTGATGCTATCAAATTCCATATTGGGCCATCCCAATCCTCGCAGAACACTAAGCGAAGAGCAACCAGGGTATCATTCGATGCAGCTGGCTTTTTCTCCTCTTAAGATTAGACTTCTTTTCTTCCTGACTTTTATGATATTTGAGGATAAAATCACTGAAAATAATTCATATTTCCAGACTCGTCCCAGGTTGAAACCACAAAATTCGGAATTCGATATTTCGAACAGCTAAATGCTCAGTTGCTTGCTAAAATTAACGTTAAGTAATAAACTGTTTTGGAAGGTTCAAATACCGAAAATTTCTTAGCGTTTGAAGAGGTTATGTATTTCACGACTTTGCAAACGTAAATGTTTTTATAAAAAATACTTCAAAAAATGCTGAAAAGCCAGTTGAGAGGGCCAAAACGCTTCATCGTATAGCATTTTGTTTATTCTATGCAAATGTTATCGAAGCTAGCCCGAAAGTCAAAAATGGAAAATTTAAAAATCAGCGAAACTCAATATGGCCAAAAACTATAAGTTGGAGGTTTTGGCGATTTTTCGAGCGGACATCAAAGGAATCTGAACAAGAACAAACCATTAGAAAAAGGAAGAAATTCTGATCGGATAGTGCTTACAGCTCTTGACTATCTTTATTCTAAGTGGTTCGAGCATGGTTCGGACTAACCTAGTAGAAGAAGATGACTAACGTAGGAATAGTAGAGCAGTGCGATCCTCTGCAAAGCAGAGGTGACGCGCTGGCTGTGATGTAATATTAGGTTGGTGTTATGTTATGTTTTGTCAGAAACAAGGTTTCAGAAAAAAACTCTTTTTGTTTTTTAATCCATATTTTTCTGCCCATATGAGATATGAGTATAGTTCAATGTGCGCTGTACTGCGAAAGGTTCGCTGCAACTGATGGTCTTCATCACATTTCAAAATGTAGATTTTATAGAAAGCTATATGAAGTTAAAGTGAAAAATGGGAAAACGCTCATCATTTTCGCACCAACCTAATATAATATGTTAATATTACTGGCATCCTAAACCATCATAATAACCGCTTTTCTTCCAAATTTCACATTCCGGCTCTTATTATTCTATAACAAAGAATGGAAAGGGCTTGCAGTTCTATGTTAACATGTGCGAAATAATGCGAGTGATTGTAGTGGTGAGAGTGCAGATTCGGTAGCTAAATCAGTTTCAGGGTTTATTAATGTTTTTCCTTGAGGAGTGTTCTATAAAGAGGTGGGCTTATTAAGTAAAATGAAGTATGGTTTTGAAGATGCCGACACTGTCGTTGGCCCTCCTCTCCCCTCCCTCACAAGTTTGTACTTAGGGATACGACTGATTATGAAGCTTGTTTTTTGAGTTTTCTCCATCCCTGGAACCATGACAGTTTGGTTTTGACTTAGACATGCTGTAGTATTCCGTATACATCCAGGCACATGTTTACTTCCGTCCATATTTTTTTACGGAAGTACCCATCGCTGCCTTCAACGAAAGTCAGATGGGAATGATTCTTTTCTTCGAATGCTCGTATTTATCTTATAGGCCCTGAGCCGCTTGTAGTACTGCTTTTTCAAAATTGGTTTGTAGCGGCCACGGCAGTCCTTTCTCAAATGGTCTATAAGCTCCCCACCAAACACCTTTTTATTACAATTGTCGGTCTATAGGGTGTGGAACCGTTCTTTCCTGAAATATCATTTGCAAGCGGTGAATGGAAAATCTTTGTTATAATCGCCGGTTCATAGGCGGTCCATAAGGAGATCCAAGAGGTAGAATTACGTAGAACGGCAGCACTTTGTTTTGTTGGAACATTGGTTTGTAACCTCCTCATAAAACTTTTTACGAACATCAATCTGTAAGAGCTCGTAGAGTAGTTATTTTTGAAAATATCATTTGTAAACGGCCAATAGAGCGCTTCCTTCTTACATATACATAGGTCTGTAATCGGTGCGTAGGGCAGTTTCTCCTCAAAATATTGGGGAGTGGGGGGGGGGTAAACTGCCGTCATGTGAGTGGTCTGTAGTTTTCACAAAACGTTTTGTAGGATTCGTAAAGCGGTTCTTCTTTAAAATATTGGTGTCCAACCGGCTCCTAGAGTATTTTTCTACTAAATCTTGGTTTAAAGGCAGCGTTTAAGCAGACGTCAGAGCCTCGAAAACCACGCCCACTTCCTCGCACGGCCAACCCCCTCGAACGAAATCTTCTCAGCACTTGACAGTTTTCACATGGCAAACACTACCGAACACATAGCTTTTACAAGTTAAAGCCTGCTTTCGACAAGAATAGGAAAGACTCGTCCGAGTTCTTGCAAATTAACACCAAAGAGATGGTTTTTTAAGGAATTCACGCTTTTTGAGCGTCGTATTTGGAATAAGCACCGTGAAAAGGCATGGATAACGCTAAAAATGGAAGTCGAGAATTTGCTTGGACGCTGCTTTAAAGCTTTGTAGGGCAGTTCTCTGTAAGATCTCGGTCTGCGTGCAGCTCAGAGGTGTAGTTTTTTTTTGACAAAGTGAAGGTTTATAAGCGGCCTATAGAACAGTTACTTGATAATGGGTTTGTTGTCTCACTCTGATGAGTAATTTGATAGTTATCGGTCTGCAGGGGTCCATAAGGCGATTTTTCTTTATATCCGGTCTGTAAGAGGCCATACCTCAGCATTTTTTAAAATAACGGTTTGTATTCGGCCCATAGTGCAAACCACAAACACTGTTTTGAGGCAAAAAAGTAGTTCTGTAGGTCTACAGGTGGTACGTGGGGCATAAGAAAACAATCTTAAATTTTCTTGCCAAAATTCTTGAATCAGGGTGTTTTCTTGTGTGTATGGGATCAAATAAATTATTCCACGTTCCCCTGAAGTTTTCAATATTATGATAAGGTAGTGCAAGAGAACCCGGTCATAGTTTGTTAAAAGGTCACTTTTATAGGGGCTTTTCAAATTAATATTTTGCCATATCCTTTGTTGCTTGTAAGCCGTGATTGAGATTGTTAGAGCAGTTTATCGGCTAACGTAATTTGATGAATTGACAAACTCCAAATTTGAAAAGGCTCTTCAAAAAAGTCCAAGAACGATTTTTTTTTTCAAAATTGATGCAGATTCTAAGAAAAAAGTTGAAGCGTTTGTAGGACATCTCTTGTTATGAATGTTCTGCCTTTTTGTAAACAATTTTTGAGACTCACTGAGAAAACGCGGCCCAAATCACCCTTTCTGGGAAGAAGGAGGTTGGAGAAAATGTTCTTTATTTTTCAAATGAATCTTTGTGAAGTTTTTTGGATGAGAGGGCGTCATATTCGGCAAAATATTAATTATAACTTAAAATCTCGTAGACTTGTGGAAAGGCTCTTAAAATGTAAAATGATTTGTAAAATTCTTACCTTTTGTGATTGCTCCTTCTTAACACATTCACGACAATACGACCCAACGGTGGGTCGTACGTGTTCTGCCATTTCGGACAATACGACCCACCTATGGGTCGTATGCTTTCCGAAGTTTTTGGTTTTGTTACTTTTAGGCGAACCGAGTAAATTTCTGCATACACCTCTTCGAGTACTTTCTGAAAGTTTAACACTTCAGACCATAGGTTCCATCAGTGAACTGAAAATATTACGCAAACTCAAGTTTGCGAAATATTCTCTGGTCCGAAATGGTAGTCATCGAAAAATCGGCCCTGTCGTGAATGTATTAAGATTGGGTTTTCAGAGAAAGCTTGCAATGAGTGGAAAATGTAGAGCTATTTTTAATCACAACTGGGCGACGAATAGTGTGTCTGCCCTGACCCATCAACTAGCGATCCGTAGAATTGCTAGTTTGATAAAATGAATGCAAATTATTATTATTGGGAGAAATGTAAATAGCAATTTACTAGAGCGAATAATGCAAGTAAAACATATTGCTTGCAAGGTTCTCTTCCAAGGTCCAATTGCAAGAAGAAAACTTTTGCGTTGGAGAGTTTGATTTATCACAGAAAACAAACCAAAATATAGGTTAAGGCGAAGAAAAGTTTCAAAAATAGCTGGTTTATATTCTTTTTTACGATAGGGCGGAGAACAAAGATCGAGTGGCAAGGTTTAAAGGTACAAACGTACTCCCTCGTTTCCACTTTATTTCACTGTTATGACATATATATGTAAGATTGGGGGGAGGTATAATATAATGTGCGGAGTGCAGCCTGTGTAGAATTTTCCAAGAACGCACATAATCTCTTTGATTTCAGAGTATGTCACGTAGTAAATGAAGTCCCGGCCATGTGAAAAATACTAAGGGTGCTGCACCTTTGAACAGAACGACATTTCTTTACCGATGCTAATTCCTTTTCTGAAACAAAGTTGCTTTACGAAATATGCTTTTGTCAAGGCTCTGAAGCTCATTTCGGGTTTCTAGCGCGGAGAAGGAAATATTTGACTGCAAAATTGGCTTCTGCAGAAATCTCAGGCATGATGAATGTTGGAGTGCCTATAAGCGGTGACTTTATATAAATCTACGGAAGCTCGAATAAGGGCAAGTGAGGACTCTATGACTCACCCAGCAAGCAGTTTTTTTCTGAAATTAAAAAACTTGTTTGAGCATTTGCAGTGACATTGACACTGCACTACGACCAACTTCGAAGTGTTGAGTGCATGTGGCCTCCGCTTCAGTGTGTATGCCCTCATATACCATTATGTAACTGTGTAACAAGAATACTTCACCTCTCTTATCTCCCTGAGAGGACATTTTCGCATGCATGTGATCCTGTCCGGATCATTTTCCTCTTGCTCATCGCAGTCGTACAAGCACTATACATAAGCAGTTGTAAAAATAGCACATCCTTAGACGCAGGAATGAACTACCTTGAACACCTTGTTCACCTGTGCTGAGACATCAATAAGGAGGATTGAGAGAATGAAGAATGTTCACTTTGACAGCATTATGGAAAGCTCAGATTCTGGAAAAATGTATTTAGGCTCGCTTAAGGGAATGAAGGGCGAAACTCAATGGTGCCGTTTCAACGCCTACACTACATAAATACATAGTATTTCGTGAATGGCAGGAATGGCATTTGGCTGATATGACATCAGATTCTGTATCGCTATAGCTGTATCCCATGGGTTTCTCATAAATTTCAGAAAAATACTGCAACAATTTTGTAACAACCAAATGCTGATAGCATCATTCTGAAAAACATACTGACGCTGATATTTTAATTTTCCTCATCAGAAAATAGCAAAGTGACGTTGATTGTCCATGTTTTTCTTTAATATTTGATTTGAACTTCCATAGAAGATAGCAAATGAGCTTGTGATTCAAAAAATTTTTCGCTGATGTTTAATGTTGGATTTTCGCTCTGTACAACTGCATCTCGTGTTGCTTCGCGTACGCCATTGTAGGGAAAGTCATCTTGCACTCCGAATTTGGAATGTGTTAGATCGATCAGCTTTGTGGCAGATGACAGGTTCGCCAAGATTATTTTATATCTTACTTCATGACATTCAGTGCATGTTGTTAATCAAAGCTATAAAAGGCAAGAGCTAAAATGGGCGAAACAAATCTTATTAGTCAACTCTCAATCTAGACACGAGTAAGTTTTTGCAGAAAAGAACAATTGAGAAGGCCAAAGTATGCTTGACGAACAGTAACATGCGGCTGCAGGTCAGCGAGTGGATTGCTATCTGAAGGCTTTGGATTCAGGTCTCGTCTCTATTATTTATTAGTTAAAATGTCTTGTGAGATCGTTAGTTTTTTCAATGGAGGTGAGATGAGGTGTAGCACTGCCTTCCATTACATTCAGAATTTAGTGGCTTATGCAGTTACAATCGTTTGATGTTTGAGATTGCCGCACGTTGATGCATATACTGATCTGCGCTTAAAGGGTAGCGCAGTGCAAAGCGCAGCTGATCCGTAAAATGAGCATTTTCTCCAATAACAGCTTTGAGCTACTCTTACTGGTTCGGATGACACCACTGCAATCTGAGCATCAAAAAACCGCACTGGCTCATCTTTGAGTAAATTTTGTGACCGTGACCCCAAATACCTAAACATACCGTAACCATTGGGATGGCACCACTGATTGGAATGGATAGCACATCCGCCATCACTACATAAAAGAACTGACTTGCATGTCATGTACCTGCCCTAATTCTGCTGCATGACATGCGGTAGGAAGACCCAAAAACAAATTTCGATGTACCAAGTTTCATTTGCTTTAGTGACTTTGACCAGCTAACATGAATCTAAAGTAACCTTGCTCAGAATTTGTAAGTAACACTGCACTAACAGAAGACTTGTAAGTTACCTCATGTGCTTGCTGAAACTACGAGCAAAGGCAAAGTGTCTTCGTTGAGTATTTGATTATATATTACGCCTTAGTAAGTATTTACGACCTTGGAATTTTAACCTTATATGCGCTCTGGTAATCGAGAAATATCAAGATTAACATAAAAAACATAATGAAAACGATGTGTTGTAAATTCAAATTAAATCTCATCTCAGTTCTCTTTCAATAAGTTTTATAGGAAATACAGCAGCTGGGAAGACGAGGAATCTGCATCGCCTAAATATTGAAGTATTTGTTTATCAAAAAAACCGACAAATTTTTTTGCATCGTCCTAATTTGAAAATGCTCATGATTTTTCGAAAAAGTCGGCGCACTTCGACGAACTCAGCTAGAGTGCACTACAGTGCGTCGGATTACGGCAGAGTGCGCCGGAATCCGCGTCGCTACATCTCGCTTCGGAATGGTTGAATTCTGAATGCAACGACACCGGACGACTCAGTGTGGCGAGGAGCATCTTCTGATCTATAAAAGTGCCACAGTCTATCAGGCTACGGTAGGTATACGATAGCCAGTCAGCTTTCACCAATTTTATATGATTTTTGTTTCGATGGGCTACTCAGTGTGCTGATAACAATTTTTACACATTGATTTGTTACCAGTGCATATGCTAAGAGTGGGTAAATAGTCGCTTTGCTCGCACTTGTTTTAAAATCTGCTCAAGGTAGCGCAGGGATATCTACAATGAAAGAATTGTGCTCAAAACGTTACCCATGGTTGCTTCCACGTTCTTATTCCGATCAAAGAAGGATCCCACAAAACTTTGGAATGAATTTTTCAAAAGCTACAATATCGAGCAGATAAAAATGGCGGGTGAAGAATGTTGGCAGTTATCAAAAACTCATGGAGGATTCCGGTTCGAAAATTTAACCAAAGAAAGGGCAAGATACTGCATCGAATGCATGTTGGAGCTTATTGTTAGCAAGGTTTTCACTGTGTGGTTTTGTACTGTTTGAAACCGATAAAACTTTTGGGAACAACCTAATATTTGCAATTGTCATTTGATCTATTGAGTTGTCCCAAAAGGAAGCCCCTTTTCTGTTTCTGTCTTCTCAGTTGCTCAAGTTACTGTTGGTTAGGGCAAAGCAAGCTACGAAAAAAGTTTCGCCTAATCGTAAACCAGGTAGAGCTTGAACCAAAATCGAAAAGACTTCATCACCTAAAGGTCTGCGAAAAGGAAATTTTTTGGACCTCCAACATGGTCATAATACAGAAGCCACATACTAGTACTCAAGAGTGCCTTTATTGGTTTTTTTCCCGTATAGAAAGCTAGAAAAAAGACAGTCCAAAAATCATGACCCCACCTGTACCCCACGATGGGCAGGACGGCCAGTCCATGGGTTTGATGAATTATCTATATATGACCAATTTAAGGTCCCAGTTTGCATATGTTTTGTAGATAGGGTTTTCTGACATGCTGCTTACGAACAACATGCTACTTTATTGAATTCAACTCGACTGCAAAACTCTCCCTCCTTCGACCCCTCAGTACGACTCTCCAGATGCGTCGTGCTACACCTCATGTTTGACATAGGTTATGACCGATGAGCGCGGTGTTAGCGTTGTTTATTTTTGTGTTCTTATTGTTTACATCGCTTGAGAAAATAGTCTAAATTATAAAAAATGAAGGTTGGTCTTAACAACTCGCGCGCGCATATTTGAAACTTACTTCACTTCATTGCCAAAGAGGTTTCCTAATTCCTGCCACAGATACTTGATTATAGCTGGTAGCAACTCTTTGACCTTCCAGCTAATGTACTCGAATTATCAGTTTAGAAATGAGAACGAAGAAACAACGCAGATGCGCCTATCCTTGAGTCTACATCAGGATAGGTACTAAGCGGAGAATTTAGATTTGGCCTGGACACTGCCTTTAAGTCATGGTTTTCTAAGCATTTGTGAAAACAGAAGTCTTCAGCAGCTGGTTCTTCCTCGGTGGAGTCTTTGAGTGTCATCATTACAAGTGCAACGCGCTTTGTCAGTTCTCTTCAAATTTGCTAATCTTGAATTCAATTTCGATATGTTTGAGTGCTGGGTGCTGTCTACATCTGTATACTCAACATTTTTTGTACCAAATCATTATCAAAAAGACGATTCTTACACAGCTGAATAGCTTGCCAAAAAGTCTTCGTTTTCTTTTAAACGCCGTTATATGCCATTTGTTCGCATGCCTTGCGCAAAATTCTAAAGATCCTGCTAAAGACTATACTAACTGCAGATTGATTTAAGAATTTTCTTTAGCCAAACATATGTAGTAGCTTAGGTGGTTTTCTGGTCTTTCTCAGTTTTGATAATCATCAATACTTCAGTACAGGAAGAAATAGATATGAATTTTACATTTTTTTTTTGAATAAAGATGATCATCTGCAGTTTAGCGCTATTCACATTCACATTCTTTATATCATGCTAGTTCTTCACCTTTTTCGTTCCAAAACAAAAGCACATGACAGTGGAAATAAATCCTTGCATAATCCGTACTTGTGCTTCTTTTTGAACTTTTCGCAACGAGTTCTGCACTAAATATATTAGGTTGTCCCAAAAAATAAGGTCCGTTTTGAATTTTAGCCTTAATAAGCCATACACTTCTCATTTCTGAATGGGAAGCAAGGTACCAGGCATAGCATCATGCAAGTGCTGAGACTTTGAAAATATTTGTAATTCTGAAAGAATGCATCATTTTTATCGCCACTTGTAGGCTTTGGGCCTCCAAAATTATCTAAGAAAAGCTTAAAAATCTTTCCTGTGCCTTACGCCGTCATGTATGCGGTTATCCCTCATGTTTTTGAAGATTTACTTTATCCTTTACACAAGTTGCATGAAAGTTAGTGACCACTGATGGATAACTGCTGAGCCATATGTGATGGTTTGCAATTCAAACAAGTCTGTATGCAGTGAAATGAAAGTAAGAAGCAATATTATCTTATTGTTAGCCTAAAAAAGTTATATCAGTTATGTAATGCTGATTCGTAAAGACTTTTCTGTGCCATCCATAACGCTATGTATATCGTAGAATTTTACATTGTTCTGCTTGTCTGAGTCTCTTATCTGACTGAAAAACTACCTGAGCTCTATGTATCTCAAATTTTCTGCGAGTTATTTTCAACGTACTACTCATCGCATTTCTAGATATACGCACTTTCAGTTAGATTTCCAGAAAAACACTAACAAGCCGATGCGATTTGCAGATCTGTGGCATCTACACTTGAAATTTGCTTATTCTCGGCATTTCTTTTAATCAGTTATCGTCTTATTGTGTATATACTAATGTTCAAATGCTCTTTATTCTCAAAACTTTTTGGCATAAGAAATCGTATGAAACCATTTCTCCAATTGCTCTTGACTCTCAATGTATTGCACGAGAATTTTCATTATGACACCATTTCTCGCAATCTGCTGTTGTGGGAAACTTTTTGAAAGCCGATGGAGTATTGCATTCTTCTATGCACTGAAATAAGTTCCTTGATAATAAGGACGTATGGCATTACTTTCAAATTCGCCCCACCAGCATTAGGTCTCTCCTGTCACAGGCAGACAGGCATTCCTCTTGAGCAGAAGGTTTCAACTTCCTACATTTTGAGTAGCAACGTAAAGAAAAAAAGGTTAATTACGCTTCAGACTTTTCTACTTTTTAAACTTATTTTGTGAGTCTGCCGCAGGGCTGTTAGCAAGAAGTATGAACAGCAGAAGGAGAAATTTCATGAGTAGCATTGTCGCCTACGAGATTGCTTCTTTGCTATAAATAATACCAAATCAACAATATTTCAATAATATGTACTATGAAATTGGCATTATTTTTATATCTGAGTAATATGATCAACTTACCTGTATGAGTTGAGTAGTGTCTTCCAAGGATAATATGCGTTCAAGCTGCCACTTTTATAGCAAGTTTTATGGGGCGTTAGCGATGAAAATCGATTCTTACAATGTTGAAAAGCTATAACATTTCTGCGAAAAAAAAACACAAGGCATTATTACAAGGGTTGCTCAGATTCGTCAGCACATTCTCTTATGACATTTCAAAGCTTTCTCCAAAATTATGCCCGTTTTTTGAAGTGTTTATCGAAGAAGTGCTATTACAGACCCGTTATGAGCAAAAGCGGACACAACAGACACTCATTTTGATTTCGCAGACACACTAGGCATCTATGTAGTTTTTGCTTACAGTAAGAGCATACTCCACGGCTGCAGAGCATAATCTGTAAAGATTGTAGGGTTCAAATGCATTTTGGACCTTGTAAAGTTCGTAGACAAATGTTTCTCCGTATCCTTGTGGAAAGACTTTCATAAACGGACATTGTGCAAATTCTGTGACGCTAATGTGAACAAAATAAATTCAAAAATTTTAAGAATACTTGTGATTTACTTTTTGTACATCTATGTGTAACCTAGCTTATATGGCATGGTATTAAAAAAATCAAAAACTGTGGTATGACCGTGAAGTCATTTCAACAATCATTAATAAAGTATTTCTCACTCATCTTCCATTTTGTAAAAGTTGCAGAATTCGCCTCGATAAGTCATTAGTTCAGTTTTGTGAATGTATGAGCCGTAATGGAATTCCTAGGCAGAATAATCAGATCCTTTGTTAGTTTTCATAATATAATACATACATTTTAGATGTGTTCCTATCCAGATTACCCCCAACCTCGCTTTTTTACAACCCGAGTTACTAGACATCGCCATCATACAAATTGCGAATATTGGCACTAGATTTGCATAAACTGAAGCAAAGAAAATTTTTATGGATTGTCCACTTCGACTTCTGACCATTCCCTTGTAAGTGTGTGGATGAGGTACACAGCTGCGTTTAAGCACTCCTAGCCAATAGGCTGATTTGACTGCCTTTTTGCGGGTGTATGACTTTATGAACGATAGCATATGCCAGCCGCCAGCTGGGTACCGTACCGTACGCGATGCGCTGAACGCTCCGCCCCCTGGTGAGTTAGCGTAGAAATGCGTTGCGATCTTAGAAGAATCCTAATATCTCATGCATGCTTCTTCTGCTGTTGCAATTTAAAATTCAAATTTTTAATAAATTCAAAAATTAGATTTTATTCATTTCATTTTATTCATTTTTCCATTTTTCATCTAAGATTAGTTCGCAAACTGCTTTTCGATCTACTTCGCTTTCTTGCTCTTGATAGTTAGTCCGTTTTAGTTATTTCACTACAGCTCCAAGAAAAGTTTATTTTCAAAGATCTTCTAAAATGTTTTGAATTACTTAATTACTTGTACCTAAATCTTATCTTCTTCCTTATACTCTCAGTGGTCTGGTTCTAAAAGATCAACTTGTAGAATAAAAAATATTGCAGAAACATTCGGACAGCACGATCTCTAATTTTTATAGAAGAGGAAGCTTCAAAACTGCAATTATAGATTTAAAAAAACAGATTTTATTACAGTAGTTTCCAGCGAAAATCAAATTAGTTTGAGCGATTTTTGCTTTATACACAGTAATGTTGATTGATGTAGATAATTACTTTTGATAATTCCACAGGATCAAAAATCAGTCGTTTTACAAATGTTTGGTCATATTACAGAAATCTTTCAAGAATTTATAAGTCACACGTTACGCATACTATTGAAATCCGCTTCGACAAAGGAATGCTTTTATTTCTTTCAAAAATTGCTATTGTCGATACAAATCAATTGGTAATTCAAGCGAATTTGCGTGTGACTTGATTAAAGACGTGAGGTCACTCAGGCAATCATGCCTGAGGTATTCTAGATTGGTTTCACACTCCAAAATTGGACATCAGCAGATAGTCTCGGTCATCTATGCCTTGAATCAGCAATGCCCTTGGATCACGATCAACATATCAGTAGTTCATCAATTGGCAAAAAGAAACAAGAAATCAAAACAGGATTCTGTAAACAGTCAAGCTTCTCCCCAGCTTGCAATAAGCTTACAGCTCGCCATCAGGAGCTGTTCTCACTTGACTAGCGAACATGGCCATGGACCAGTGCTAGAACTTTTTGCAGAAAACACGTCCATCCAGCGATGGGCGGGGCTAATGGTACGCACCTTATTGACACATGCCTGCATAAGTACGCGCTATCGTTCATAAAGTCCGCCACCCCCTTTTTGCTTCTACATATCCTGATATGGAGTAAGTGTCGGGAAGCAGCTATTACCCAAAAACTTCTCACGATGGAGGTTGGCCTAAGATAGCGAATTTCTGGCAACGACTTTCGCCCGCCGGCAGGAGCCGGCTCTCTCTTCTCCCTTGCCTTTTTGTAAATAATTTGCATAATAAAGATTATAGTAAGTCTGATGTAACCCGGCTACACAACAGGATGAGCAATTGCAGACCTTTATCTCGCTCAAATCTGCCCAAATTCTCATGTCTACTGGTTTTTAAAAATCCAGTTTTAATAATGGTAATATGAGCGCCAACGATCGGTTGGGTAGATGCAGTTAGCAGCATTCAACAAAGAACGATGAGAGCTGTTATTCCATGTTTCTTTTCGATCCTTTCATAACTTTCATGCAAGCTTTTTCTGAGCTCTTAACTTAATCCCTCGAAACTCAAAATTTTATATCGACTAGTTAATTTTGCTCTGCTAAGCTATGAAGAGGGAATATTGAACGACATTCACGGCAAGTTTGAATCTGCCAATTACTACAGCTATTTGCACTAATCAGACCAGATTTTACAATCGGAAGCTTCCTACAACTATAAAATTGCAATCAACTCAGAATGTCCCTCATTTCTGAGCAGAGCACAGATATCTCTTCATTAAAATATCCTTTCAGAGAAAAATAAACAAGAAGAAAAGTTGCTCTGCTTGGTCTAGGACGGGTTTAATCGTCCAAAGATTGTCTGAGTTATCGTCTTTTGCACAAATCGTTCACTGAATTAATTCTTGGTAAGAAAAGCTTGAATTTCGTTTATAGAAAACAACTGAAATACTAAGTTTAATACGACAATCTACTAAAGTTGGAAAAATTTTCGCTAGAAAGGTTTGAAGTTTGATTTGCAATAGCCGCAGTTAAAGATTTGAGCAGTATTGTACATCAATACATTTCTAGCGTATCCTGCTTTGAATTTTTTATGCTGCAAAATTTATTCAGGCATTAGTATTGACAGAAGTTTGTTTCACAGACTTAGACATGCTGTCGGGAACTGAAGCAAATACTGCCATCCTTTATCCATGCATCGCTTCCCGCACTGTAAAAACATTACTGAACAGAACAAATTGGCACGTTACTCAAAGCCGTTCTTTAAAGTTTGTCTGTGAGAATGTCTGAACAAATCTCAGCTCCAGCAATTTGCCTTTGCACTCAACTGGCGCTGAGGTGCTTCGAGATGGCAAAATGCTCGTTTTTGTAAAATGCCCGTTTTTGTAAAATTTCGCCATTTCGGGGCGTTTGTGACTCTCGTATAAGTATTCTCACCTCTTCTAACTCCTGTGTAGGACATGTTAGCATACATGTAGTCATCTTCAGACCATTTTTCTCCTGTTTATCGCACTTGTGCAAGCACTATACATAATAAGCAGTTGTAAATATAGCATATCCGTAAACTTGATAATGAACTATTTCAGGTGTATAAGCCGCACCCTTTTCGCTTTATTCGTGCATTGACCGCGGCGCGGCGCTCGCGACTTATGCGCGTGTTTCAATGGAGCGCACATAATAGCCATTCTGCTGCGTCAAAACAGTTTTTTCTTATTCTATGTACCATTTTCACATTCTCTTGTATTTTGTGCCTCTACATTCGAAGTAGTGAACATCTCGAAATGTTGTAATGTTGCATTGTTTATCGCATTTTTAGAAATACGCACCTTCAGTTAAATTTCCAGAAAAACATTGTCAAACCGATGCGATCTGCAGATCAGTAGCATCTACACTTGCCAATTGCTTAATCGACGGCTAATCTCGGCATCTTTTTATACAATTATCGTCTTATTGTGTATAGACTGGTGTTCAAATGCTCTTTATTCTCAAAGCGTTTCGCTTAGTTAGTAAGTTTACACCATTTCACACAATCTGCTATTGTGCGAAATTGCGTTTGCTTTGCGAAAATCCATGGAGTAAAGCATTCTCCTAGGCACTAAAATAAGTTCCTAGGTAACGATGACGTATGGCATTACTTTGAAATTTGCCCTACCTGCTTTAGATTACACACAGAAAAGCATTCGGCTTGAGCAGAGCGTTTCAATTTCCGACAGTTCGCCGAGCACCTTAAAGAAAAAAAAACAAAAAAGTTGATTACGTTTCAAACTTTCTACTTTTCAAAGTTACAATCTTCCTCTTCCGCAGAACTGTTAGCAAGAAGTATGAGCAGCAAAAGGAGAGATTTCATGAGTAGCATCATGTCGACTACGAGATTGCTTCTTTGCTACAAATAATACGGAATCAATAATATGTTTCGCTACCAGGGTCAAGCGTGTTGATGCGATCCGGGACCCTCATTTACGACCCCCCCCTTGAAGGTACCCATCCGTACGACCCCCCTCCCCCCCCCCCCCGCCTTCTCCCACCCTCCCCCATCTATCCCCCTTACCTCCCCTGCCCACATTCCTCGCGGTAACCTGCATAAACGAATGTCAATCTCAAAAAACACCTGCGTGAGAACTTCAGTGAGGTTTCGGAAGCAGAATTTCTAGGCCAATGGGTGCGCCCAGCATTTATAGCACACATACATACCTTCAATAATGTTGGAGATTCCGCAAGTTTTTTTTTTGAATTTTCAGGCATACTTCAGACCAGCAAATTCGATGCCTGTATGCGACACAAATTTTTGCACGGAGAAAAAATGACATTCTTGAACTACAAAAAATGTTTTCGACTAGGAAGCTTACTTCCTACCTCTTCCACACTTTCTCCCGCGAAAGAAGCCGCTTTAGCGCCGTCCAGAACGATGTCAAAAACGTGCATGCGCACGGTAGTTTGAAAATTCGTAATTAAAGGCAGGAAAAGACTGAGAAGCTGCAGAGCACAGGTTCTGTAGCATGGTGCCCAGAATATCTATAGAAAAAGTTTCAGCCCCTGAGGAGCAGTAAGCTCGAAAAAATTTAGATGCGACTCTCACAAATCTAGATGCGATCCTAAAAAGCAAAAACTGAGATTTTTGAGCTTAAAATTTTGTAACTTACCAGAGAAGTTATAAAACGGCCTGCAATTTTTATGAAGAAAAATAGGAGGATGGTCTCATATTACAGCAAAATTGCAGCCAACAAGCTTCGATAGCTCCAAAGAAATTCAGATGCGACCCAGATACGACCCCCCTTTCGTGATTTCTTGCTACCATACATAAAATCATAAGAAAATCCACAGTC